ACTAACGCGTTGACTTCTTCGAGCCCACGCGTTGACAACGCGTTAGGTGGTTCGTTTATCTTCGAGCGGTACTGTAGGGCTCTGAAAAAGAAACACCCCCAAATTGCACTTACAGTTACATTTCCCTACATTTCTGGAAATGTAACCGAGCAAAATCAGTTCCACCAGTTGAACATATTGCCAGTACACTGAGAAGAATCTCTTACATTACATGTATGAAGATTATTTGGAAAATTGGGAAGCAAGAACTAAAATGTACAAAAAAGAAAAAGGCACTGCTAATGTCACACAATCAAACATGGCAGCAAACTTGACTCCTTTTCAATATCTGTTTCCGAATTTTAGGCTACATTCTTAATTCCCATTTATTCCCATTCCCATTTAAAGATAATTTTTGACAATTTGTTCCCCAGTGAACGTTTCCTTAAAAACCAGACTGTAAGTTTGTCTTCAAACAAAAATAAAGACACATAGAGCTGACACTGAAAAGATTGGAAATGAAAAGATTAATAATTAGAAAGATTAATATCTGAAAGGATTCCTATATCTGGATAACTGTGGAACTTGCTTCCACATTGAAAGTTTGGAATTCTTTAGTAAACGAAGCTGGTTTTTCAAAGTCCTTGAAAAGGAAGATTATTTCAAAAGCTTTGGAGTTTAACAGCTAAAATTTATTGCTCTCAGAAAATTACACCCAAAAGCAAAAACGTTTTAGACTAATAAAATTCTCAGCTCTAGCTGCATAGAAAATAGCCTAAGCAGTAACTTTCAACAGAAATAATGAAAGAAATTGATAATTGCTCACATGATCTTCCTCAAGGAGCACAGGATGTTGGTTACAATGCAGTTCCTATCCTCTTTCTCTTATTCTCTTTTTGTCATCAAGTGCAATATCTCAGCTGTACAAGCTAACATTTCTAGTTTTTGCAGATGTCACTGAAAGAAGCACTATTGTCCAAGACTCTTTAGGAATAGCTTCCAATGTCTCATGGGTACCATGTAATAACTGTTACAGCACCATGTAAATCTACAGTTGTGTTTTCTGTCAGCTGTGTCAGCTCTGTTCGTGTTCATTCATTCATTTTTCTGGTGTAACTTTGGCAGTTACTTTGTTTCTAATGCCCAATAGTATACTGACTCGTCATCTGTTATACTTATAACTATAAGGTCACTTGAATTTTTTTTAGGTCATTTTCACTTTTTTCGTAAGCCTTGAAGACCACATGTTTTAACTTGTTTCTATCCTGTTATTTTATTCAACATTTTAATACCATACTTTTCATTTTTAATATCTTTAACTATTCAGTGATGTGAGCTTCCTGGATAAATAATATTATTATTGTTATCATAGATGAAAAGAATTGGCTCCTAGAGGGCTAGAAAGCTAATATTCAAACAAAAACTGTGAAACAATGTAAGTGTTACCTTGCATGACAACAGGAAATATCAGAAAATTTTCTGGGCATCGAAGAATGGTAAACAAATGTTAGGCTTGAATCATATGTGTAGAGAAGGCAAGGACCATGCTTGTTGCGTGAAACTTCCTCCTTAGTTAATCTTGAATGCAAAGGTGCCATAGCATCTAGAAGCCTTTCCTGTTAATAGTAATGGGATTTCTAATAGTTAGCCTTCATGGAATGAAAAATAAAAAACTGTGAAAACAAAGAAACATCAGCATTCTGTTGCATACACAACAGAATCTTCTGAGAGCATCTTTACAACTAGGATAAGACTTGGCATCAAAACTACATAAAGCACTCACTATCAAGTAACTAATACTACAATTTTACAGTATAAACTACAGTGTTATAAAAGGACTTCCAGCCCTGAGAAAAGCTGCAGCAACATGTGGAAAAATATGGTATTTTTTCTCATGTGTTTGATATTGCCCATCAGTTGCTGACATGTCACTCATCTTTCACGCCACTTGGTCAAGTGATGAATGAACAACAAAACCTTCACCATTCTCAATCCAAGATTGTTTGTTGGAATATTTTTGGATTATGGCTGCTAAAACGTTGAAAAATCCATATTGCTTACAGACAGTGATATTCAAACTTTCCTAGAAGGGGAAGAAAACCAATATACGAAAAGAAAAATTGAAAGTTAATTATTCAGTGGCTTTGGTAATGGCATTTCTTGCGGCTGAGAAAGAAAATTGACAACTGAAAGATTTGCCACAGGCCCATTTTAGCCATGTAACTGAAAGATTTCTCCTGTCAGTAAGGTCCAATTCAATAACTGAGAATTTTGTATATTGAAAATTACGCCTACTGTTTTATCAGTAAAGGCGGTTTTTCTTGTCAGTAAAGGGCTATTTTTCTATAAGATAAACAAAATAATACATGGTTGCTTATAGATATGAAATTTCTCTTCTCGTGTTCAACACAACATCTCAATCATTTGCTGGGCTCACCCATGAGCTATTAAGTTAAACACTTGAAGAGAAATTCTATATCTATGTGCACCCATGTATTGTTCTCTACAAAATGGATAATATCAAAATGTAACTGGCTAAATAGCAAATTTAAAGTAAATACAGTTGTAGCAAAAGAGTGCAGAGCACTAGCCTCACACCTGTGGCCACCATCTTGATTAAATTAACTCACAATTACCTTAAGTTTTGGGGAAAATCTTTGTCCCTTAAACAGAAATTTGTTGCTGAACTAATTTTGTTGTTGCAGTTACACAATTCAAACTGAATTAAATTCATGCCCTGATACAAGCAAAAAAATTCTCTATAAAGGACAAAGATTAATTTTTCAAAAAAATTGTCATGCAAGGCAAATTGGTGAGGTAACTTGTAACCTTGCAAGATGTTGCAGTGACTTGTTTAAGAAGCAGCTCACACAGAGCAACTGGTCACACAAAGACCTGTCTTGTTACTTTGCGCATTCCAACCTTGCTACTCATACTGACCTCATCAATGAAAGGAATGAGCACCACAGCTTCCCATTCTTGCTGTTTACCATTCAAATCAGTCTTGAAATTTACAGGATAATAATCAATAATATCGGACTGTTCCATGATCATCAAGTTCTGTGGAAAATGAAAAAAAAAATGTCATGTCATTTCTCTTCTCGTGTTCAACACAACATCTCAATCATTTGCTGGGCTCACCCATGAGCTATTAAGTTAATGTTAATATTAAGTTATGTCATCAAGCACTGTTACCCAGATCAAAGCATGATTGAAAGTGGTGCGAAGGTGGCTTGAAGGTGATGTAGTATATTTTATAACTGCAGTATTTTGCACTCAATTAAATACATGTAATTAATTAATGCATTTTTTATTTATTTTCATATTGCATCCTCTATTGTCTTGTGGTACTAAATCACTTAAAGATAGGTCCCTTGAGAAACAGTTCATTTTGTTTCCTTTGTATCTCAACATCCCTCAGATCTGCAAACATTGACATTCCCAATAAACAAAACACAACACATTCCATTACAACAAATCCTTTAGTGCTTAATGGCTTGCAAATCATTAAGTTGAATCATGATTTTTGGAACACTCTGTTTTTCAAAACTCCTGCCACCTTTGGACCTCACTTTCCCCCCCCTTGGATTTGCTGTTGCAAGAAACTGATGTTGTTCCAATATTACACTATATTTTGCCTTCTTGAGTCTTTGAAACTCTCAGTACTTCAAACCAAAGCTCCTTCCCAACAAAAATTGAAATTCCATTTCTCCAACTTTGAATGGTCTAGAACCAAGAGAACAAAATACACAAACACTTCTATCCTCAGCCTTCATTAACTTAATATATTTTGATTTTGCCAGGAACTAGTTGTGACATTTTGGTAAAGTTTTTGTTTGCTCAAACTGAAGGTACTGGGTATGTTTGGGTATCACAGTACAGGTAGACAAAATTTATCCAAAATCATTTCTTCAATAGTTAAAAACTGAAAACACTTTGAAGAAACAATGGAAAAACATGTTTTGCATTTTTAAGATGTGGATGAAAAAGACTATTTTTAAATATCATTAACCACTCACAACATATTGATGAGATCCTGTCACCAAAAATCCAAATTCTCAACCAGTTGTCATGTAAAGAAAACTAAGTCTATTATTTTATTCCAGCTGAAGAGACTTCCATGCCATCTTCTCTTGAACATATCAATTTAGAAATATCTTTCACTCTCAATGAATTGCCAATGTTAATTCAAAGTTATGTAAGAAAAGGTGAACTCACAAAGCCATCTTCATAGCTGATGAAATATGCAGATAAGATTATTGAAGGAATTGATGCCTCACCACAGTCACCAAAAAAGACAAGTTTCAGGTTTGAAAGAAACACAAGAAGACAATATTGGTGGTGAACAACCTTACCTGGTAGTTGCACTTTGTGTGTGTTAAAAATTACCTACATATCCACAAACAAAGGTTGATATATTCTTACCTGGAAAGGCTTTGGGAGTAGCTGCCTGCTAGCAGCTGGTAACACAGCCAGTAGTTGTTCAAAGGGGAGAAAAGGAGTTCCCAGTTCAAACTTGATTTCTAGGCTGCTAAAATGTCTTATGTCTGACATGTATGGAGCATAATGGAAAGGAAAAAACCTAAAAAAAGAGCCAAAGATTGATTCCTTAGTATATATTGTTACTAAGTTTTTCTACCAAAGACAGCAGGAAGTGGATGGGTAGCAAGTAACTTGCTTAATTTATTGATTTGTCAGTCAGCCAAGTGAGCAGGAATGGTCAGATACTAAATTGCACTTAGCAGTGGACATCGCAAGGTGGCTCCACTTATCTAGTGTCTATACATGCAAAAATTGTGAAAAAAGTTTGATGTACATCACTCCCAAATAAACCAATTTCAGTGGGTTCAAATCCCTATCAAAACGGGGGGGGGGGGGGGGGGGGGGGGGGGGGGGGAGAGAGGTGGCTTCAACAAAATGTTTTCACATTCTGCAAGCTAAGACTATTTTCACAGACTTTCTTCACACAATTTTCTACAAGAATAGGCCATCTTACAGTTGTGCACTTAGTTGCCAAGTCTTTGATTTGGAGTGAGGCTGAAGGTGACCTTGTTGTGATAGAGACCAGTATCTAGTTAACATGATAACAAAGTAATTTACATTTGAAAAGCAGCAAGGTTTGTATCATAACAAGGTCACCCTTGGCCTCACTCCTATTCAAAGGCTTGGCAACCAAGCACGCAACTGTAAAATGGACTATTTCAAAACAAATTGAAAAAAAAAATTGTTTGATCATTATAATCATCATACCAACTCCATGATGGTACTCCATTGAAATAGTATGAAAGAATCCACTGAATTCCTGTCACATACTGGTAGGTTAGCTCCGCAAGGACATCTCTGTAAAATTAATTTAGTCTGAATTAAGTTGTGCAAAAAGTCAATACACGCATATGGCCACTGGTCTATTTTAGCATTCTAAGGGTGAAGGGTGAATGTTTGACAGATGCTGCTTCATAAATGAACATATACAAGTATTTTTTAACTATCACCAATCACAATCCATCAAATATTTTTGCATTCATGCAATTGCTCTAAATGCATAATATGACCTAATATTCCCGAAACAAAACATGTGATATTCCCCAATTTTTAAACCATTCATGAGCCATGATTAGTCTTCAGTTCCTTTAAAATCTAATGCAAGATGAAAGAGGTTTTTGCAGTTGTTATAGAGGAGACATGTTTGTTTGTACTCAAAGTTGTAATGGAGAACACTGAAAATTGCACATATTATGTGGTAAGGCGCTCAGGAACATTTTTTCCCTGTCTGTTGCAAAAATAGTATTTTGAAGGATACTAAACACAAAAGCCTCCATTTGGCACAAAAATATACTCATGTATTTGTCCTTATTTCTATATTTTTACTAAATGATAAATGTATATATTGTGTAAGGGCCAGAAGTTTATTAGCCTTTTGGCTGATAAGTGCTACCCTCTTTAAATTTGTTCAAGTGGGGTAACTAGATAAAATGGTCCAACTAGATTAACCCAATGGATTACAATAGTCAACTTACTACAAAAGCATTAACCAGTTAAAATGGTCTAAAATGGTCTAAAAAGCCAAAAATCATAAGATGGTCTCACTAAAAAAATGCTCCAACCACTTAAAATGGTCTAAATACTTAAAATGAACCAACTAGTTAAAATGGTCCACTTGGTTTAATTGGTCTAACTAACTCCACCTATTCCAACTAAATGGTCCAAGTGTTTAAAATAGTCCAACCAGTGAAAACAATCCAACCTATTAGTATTAAGCAACTGAAGTCCAACTGGTTAAATGGTGAAACCAGAAAAATGGTTTAATCCATCAGAATGCTCTTACTAGAAAAAAGTGCTCTGACTGGTTAAAATAGTCTAACTAGAGGAAATGCTCCAGCTGGTACAAAATTGTTGAATTGGTGGAAATTGGTCCATCAAATCAAAATGGCCTTATCGGTTAAAATGGCCTACCAAAAAAAATGGGGCAACTGGTTAAAATGACCATACAAGTTAAAATAGCCCAACTGATTGAAATGGTCTAACCGCTTACAATGGTCTAAATAAAATTGTTCAATTGACTAATAAAAATGGTCCAACTAAACATCAAAGTGTCTGTGAGCCACTTAACACAGAAAATATATTATGAAAGAGTGATGAGGTGGGTGATTGAGCCAAGTACATTTGAATCAATCTGGTCACTGGGTTCATTGCTGGGAAATTAATTTTTCCCCTTAACTAACATGTGAATCTTGTTGAAGTGGAGAGAATTTTGAGTCCATTCTAGTAGTGTAATGCACAAATGATGTGAAAAAGAATGTGGGAACAGTAAAAGTTTTTGCCTAATTTATTAAATTCAATTATCTTATGCAAACATTGGCTGCTAGATTGGGCAGCAGTACTTTTCCTGTGCTTTTCTGAGATACAAGAAAATTTGTTGAATTCACTGCATCATGCTTTCAGTCAAAACACTTGTGTTCACATAATTGCTTTCTGAGGTATATTGTTTCAAGGCAGAAACCTGATAGAGATTGGTCATTAGATGTAAGCAGGAGAAAACCCCACACCATCATTGTGCTACAGAGAAAAGTTTTATTTAGTGACTGGAATACCATGAAAGATTTAGATCACATCATCTAAATTTGAAGAATTTTCAACCCAGTGTAGTGCTGTGTACAGTCACCCACTTTTGAACTTCCATTGAGAGCTTGAAGTTATAAAAATAAAAACACACATAAAAATGGCTCAACTTGGTCTATCTAGGACCATCTGGTCCAAATAAATGGCATTATTGGTTAAAATGGCCTAATCAGTTAAAATGGTCTAGCTACATGTACAAAAGAGTCCAACAGGTTTAAATGACCCAATTGGTTATAATAAGTAAGTCTAACTAGAAAAATGGTCCAGCTTATTTAAATGACCCAACCGGTTAAAATGGTCCCACTACATAAAATGACTATGGGTGAAAACCGTCTAAGTAGTTAAAATGGTCCAACTAATTAAAATAGGGTAATTAGATAAGCTGGTCTAACTGATAGAAGTGGACTAATTAGAGAAAATGGTCAAATTGGTAACATAATGTTCCTATATAAAATGGTCCAACCGCTTTAAAAAGTCCAAGTGCTTATATGTATAAAATTACCATTCGACCAATTAATGCAGCTCATCTAGATTCAACTACTCCAAGAGGATAAAATGGTCCAAATGCATAAGATGGTCTAACTAGATAAAGGGTCCAACCAGTGGAAAATGGTCACACCATAAAAAATGGTCCAACTGGTTAAATTGATCCAAGCGGTTTAAGTGGTCAAACTAGAAGAATGGTCCAGCTGGCTAAGATGGTCTTACTTGATTTAATGGTTATAACAGTGAGAATGGTATAAATTATGGTCTAATAGGTAGAAATGGTCCAACTAGATAAAAGTCCAACAGGTGAAAACGGCCTTGTTATGTGAAATGGTTCAATGGTCTATAATATGGTCCATACCTGTTTACTTCTTCATATCCAAACTTTTGTATGTAGTAATCCCTTTTGTGCATTGCAAATTCTGTCTCAAAGACATCTTCATCCTCATCACTTTGTTCTTCATCAAACTTTGCAGCAAGTTTTTCAATTTCTGGATTCAGCTTCACCTTTGTCTGTTTTCCCTTTGAGGTGACAGATTCCTCAGGCATGAACTCTAAAGCAGCAAAACTGTTGTCTAAAGGTAGCACAGATTCATCTGTCTGTAATTGTAAAAGCCAAAAAAGATTTAAAGAAAAAAAAACCATTTTGTCAAAGTTTGATGCTACTCTGGTTTGCAGATTTAATGAATGTAACTGAAGAAGTTACAATTCATAGACCCAAAGTTTCGACACTTCTGTCTAGTGCCTTCATCAGGGGTGATCTAAACGCTGCAACAAGAGGTCCTTTTATATGATCACTAATAAGCAGCCTTTTTATTGATGAGGTGTAAATAGGTGTCAGGAAGCAAACCGCCATTGTCATGATTTAAAGGAGCATGGGTGGAGTTAATATGCTAAGCCTCCAAACAAAGGCGCTGGTGGTAATACCGATTAGTGGTGATAATTTAGAATTATCCCACCTAATTGTATGGTTGGTTAGGCATGTATGCTTCAATAAAGCTGAATTTTCCTTTTTGCAAAGAAAAACTGCTTTTTGGTGCTCTTTTAACTGTGTACCAAACTGATGTTTGGTCTGTCCGATGTATTCGTTGTCACAGTCATTGCGAGGAATAGAATAAATGGCGTCAGTTCATTGTTCTTTCGTGACAGGATCCTTAGGTTTGGGTAGGTTTACGGTAGACACTTGTCTCTAAATTACCCTGAACCCTTCTTCTGACAAATACCTCGCTTTCAATTCTCACCACCCTATTTGCCATAAAAAGTCTGTAGCCAAAACTTTACTCAGGATGGCTGACTGTCTACCATCTTCACTTGATTTGAAGGCTTAGGAGAGGAAATATGTTTCCAATGTCCTTAAGGCAAATGGCTATACAAAAACTTTTCTCCGTAACTGCCAGAAACCAGTTACAAATAGTGATGCTCTTGATGAAAGGGAACCAGCAACTGGTTTTGCTGTTATTCCTTACATACAAGGTGTTACTGAACCCATCAAAAGAATTTTGAATAGCCACAATGTTAAAGTTGCTCAAAAACCTTTTCAGACTTTGGGGCATATTTTTGCCAAACCTAAGAATCCTTTCATGAAAGAACAACGAACCGACAACATTTATTCTATTCCTTGCAATGACTGTGACAACGAATACATCGTACAGACCAAACGTCAGTTTGGTACATGGTTAAAAGAGCACCAAAAAGCGGTTTTTCTTTGCAAAAAGGAAAATTCAGCTTTATCGGAGCATTCATGCCTAACCAACCATACAATAGGTTGGGATAATTCTAAAATTATCACCACTAATTGGCGTTACCACCAGTGCCTTTGTTTGGAGGCTTGGCATATTAACTCTGCCCACGCTCCTTTAAATCGTGACGATGGCGGTTTGCTTCTTGATGCCTATTTACACCTCGTCAGAAAAAACGCCGCTAATTAGTGATCATATAAAAGGACCTCTTGTTGCAGCATTTAGATCACCCCTGATGAAGGCACTAGACAGGAGTGTCGAAACATTGGGTCTATGAATTGTAACTTCTTCAGTTACATTCATTAAATCTGCAAACCAGAGTAGCATCAAACTATGTCTGATTGTCCACCTGGTTGCCATGTGAACTTTAATATATTTTAAAACATTTTGTGTTACTACAGGACTGGTGTAGATGAAATTTTATTTTCTTAAACTTAACAACTCAAGTACCAGAAAAATCAAAGTTCTGTTTGACTCTAAATTAATTGTACATGTCTAAAACCTTGAATTTGTTTTCCATAACACTTAACAGACACCACTGTATTACAGAAAACACACAATATCACAGTCTCAAACAATAGTGTTCCACAAAACAAGAGTTACCTGTGTTTTTCTTAAACTGGACTGTCTAGACAGAGAAAATACTCACTAACCAAAACTTAAAGAAATCTTTATAAATTGAATCATTTTCTCATAGTTGTGATGTTTAAATGGACATAACTCTCGAATCCATAACAGTGTGTATAACAAATTGAATTTAAATCCCAAGATCTGATTCTTTAACAAAAACGTAGTAACAGCATGTGCACGTGTCATCATTACAGAAAAAGCTAGGGTTGACCAGATTGCGCATTTAATCAAGGTGAGACATCTAGATAATTAAGTCTCAGCTTCTTCACAAAGAGAGTTAAGAATTAAAATTTTACAATGGAAAGACAAAATATTAGTACAAGTACCTCAAAATCCATAGGGTTATTTCCAAATGTAAAGCCCTTCTTACTTTCAAACCATTTCATGTCCACAAACTTTTCTTCAAAATGTTCTCTATCAAACTGAGATAAAAGTAATTAATTCACCATTCACTATTACTCACTAGTATTCCCACTTCACTATTATTCCATAAGCCTCACAATAGTAGGTAACAGGACAAATTGGAAGCATTACTTTATTGTTGTGATCTACAATTCTAAAAAAGCTCCCAACTCCAAACTGAAGAACAATTACTGTAAACTCTGCTGGTGGATTCTTTCCAAGTTTTTATTTGTTGTGTTACACTATCATATGAATTACAGTCACTGTGTAATATTAAAACACCTTTAATTTAGATTTGATCCAGTTCATTGAAACCAGTGCACCAATGTTTTGTTTGTGATATCAAAGAAACTACCATACACATGCTTCACCATCAATATTCTGATCCAAGTAAAGGCTAACCTAGGTTATGGTTGAATACACTTTTCAAACTAATCCTTAGGCTCTCCAAACTCAAGAGGTTTACAAGCATTCTCTTACATTGTTAAAATAATAAAAAAAAGTTAAAAGTTAAACAAACCTTTGACAAAGCTTCAAGATACTTCTCAAACCTAGGTAATATAAGCTTTCCACTGTCATGAAGATAACCTTAGTGAAATAACATTGATGATCATTTAATGATATTTTAGTTGACAATCAAACAAGCTTCATCTGTGCTCCATTCTGTTGCAGAGCTCAAAGAGAGCAAATAGAGAGCAGAAGGACTGTAAAAGAAGCACATAACAAAGTGCTCTAAATATGGCTAAGTGAGTTGTAATAAATCAGAGAATGGTCAAGGCTTCTTTCCATAAACTTTGATGGAAAAAATATTACTTCAAAATTTATCCCTTAGAGTCATCTATTTTCTAATTCAAGTGCAGAATTAATAGCTAAAAGTTCAATTTTCATTCCAAAAATGGGGATCTCACACACCTTCATCAATAAAATGGGACTGAGCTTTAACTAAAACCCTACTGACAATACAGCAACTAGTCCTTTCTTCTAAAAGATGTACTAATGTTCATACATGGTACAAATAGGTTGTTTCTCAATATTGATTTTGATGACAGCAACACTGTTAATTTTGCTCCTTCTGAGAGAACCTTTAAGAGTTTGTCCATGCAGTGACTAGGAAAATCTCCAGGAATTCACAAGATCAGGTGATTAACTAACAGATCATGCTGATTACAAGAGTCACCTCATATTTCAAAAAGACCTCTTCAAATTCATAGTTTAGGTTGAATTCCTCCTTCATTCAATTTCAAATGCCACCTTCAATACCTTGTTTGCCCCAACACATCAAACAAATTAAACAGCATAAAGAACTAATAGCTTTGATTCTGGAAAGTGAATGCTCATGTACATAAGCAAAGTGAACTGCCATTTGTGTCTCTGGAGAATTTGGTAAAATAATAGGCCCACTGTACCATACTACCATAGGTATAGTTCTACAGTTTTGTTCTAATTTTGCAGAATATTCTAATCTTTTCAAACTTTTGATGTTTTTAAAAAAAGGAGTGTTTAACTAAGAGTAGATGTACATGTCACGGTGCACTGTACATCACACGGTGTAAACACATAGAACTGAACTTAATACAATTATGTAAAAACCTTTTGATTCTATGTAAAATATTTCATAAAAAATATCATTCCAAAAAGCAAACATCAATTAATGTAAACTGTACATGAAAATATTTTCTTCATAAGTATTCCACTTATATGCAAATAGTAAGAGACTAATGGTAAGATACATGTGCTTGAAACAAATTTTATTGTTGACAATACTTTACCATCAAGTGAAGGCATAAGATCAATGTAAACTCTGTAAAGGTAGGGCAAAGCATCCTATTAAGAAATGACACAAGAAAATAACATTCTTGTTCACATGTAAATAATTGTCACAATGAAACAATTATGTATGCACACCTTACACATGTCACCTGACAAAAAAAGAAACATGACAAAGCCACTGTTAAACAAACACAGCCTCAAGAAAACAGAAGACTGGTCACAGTAACTCACAGCTCTGATTTCTGGGATATTGCCTTGCTACAAGACTAACAAGAACTTTGCAGCACCAAAAGAGACAGGACTTGCAAGCTACACTCAATCTAAGGACATGGAAAGAGGCCACATCTGCTTGCGAAATAAAAATCTTAAAAGGCAACACAAGACATTCAACCTTTTGGGGGGAGCAAGAGAGAGCCTTATAAGCCACCTAAACCAACAAGATAGTATTGCTCTCCTTGACAACTTGAATGTTGGTGAGTCAGTGCAAATCACTTCATCTAGCTCAACAATCGTTAATCATAAGGACAAAAGCAAATTCAACTCCAGTGGACCAATACTGCTGTCCTTACATGCCTGGTTTGGTTTATTAATCACCAACACCCTATTGTGGTGAGAAAACACTCCTGTAAACATCCTCTTTTGGTACAAATGCTAGACTGTCCTTTAAATTTCTTAGATAAGAGACGATAAATCACACAGTCATATACACTGTTCAGTATCAAATGCTTTCTGGTCTTTTTCCAGTCTCTTTACCTTTTTATTTAAACATTAACTCAAATCATTTTTATGAGTATGAGTTAATTTTTGTGTATGCGTGGCAGAATCAAAAAAATATCTGTGATCAGTTTGATGAATCAGTATGACCAACCATAGCAAATATATAGAGCTACAAAATAATATTGCTACAACCCCACAGACCATGACCACATGGTGATAAATCCAAAAGAGCAGCAACCATCCAAGACAGAGGGAAAGGAGAAAGTATATGCACAATTTTGTATCCATTTAATACAAAGGCATAAAAAATATAGTGCCACTAGAACTGTAAAACTCTAAATTCATTCAGTAAAAAATAATAATGGACACTTCAAAGCTCATACTTCTAGCTTGAAAAGTAAAAGATTTGACACTCCATCTCTTTAATTTAACTAAAAATGAAACAAATTGGAATAACATTTGCACATAAAGTGTATCAAATGCAATAGTTATTGTCTCTAAGTGTGAAACTCCCAACTCACATGATTAATATGAAGATTTGGCAAGTGAGGAATAAAGTCATTTCCAACAAGAAATCCCATAAGAATCCAATCATCAATGATTTTTTCCAGGTCATAGGGATGCAGCAATTTATCCTGTGAAATAAATAGTAATCACAACTGTAACCATATATAGTTACATATTTTGCAACTTTTTTCATAGCAAGTGAAGAAATACCCTCTTGCGGTACACAAGTATACTACTGAGTATCAAAAATACACAGTACATACCAAATAAAGTTCACAGTAAAATAGCAGTATTTCCTTTGACAAGTAGGTATTGGAGTGCTATTGTGGAGATGGGGTGGCTTAACAGTACAAACTCCAAGTATAGAGATTTGGTTTTGAGTAGTAGTATGGTCATTGTGTTGTGTTCCTGGGCGAGACACTTTCATCTCACTGTCCATATCTTCATCCAGGAGTATAAATTGGTACAGACAAACTGTCAGGGAAAGCTGATGAAAGCTCTAGTGTAGACTGCACTTTTAAAAGGGGGGCAATTAAATGGAGCAATTTACCGGGTGATATCAATGATGAAAGTTCATATCACTTATTTCAATCATAAGGTTACCTCTTGCACATAGAGTACCACTGAATAATTTTTTCTCTTACCACTAAATAAATTTTCTCTCTCAATTTCTTTCCTTGTCTCTACTATTTTATTTTAATCTACCATCTTTCTCTCAATTGCACACTCTTTAAACAATCTTTTTTTCTTCGTTCCCTAAATGTAAATCTTCTGCTCTCATGCTCTTTGGCTCTCCACATGATCAAACAGTGTCAAACGATCTTTTATCTAAAAGTTTTGACATACTCTTTTGTCACCTTTAATTCATTGAATTCCCAGTCCAGGTATTCTCTGAACAAAGATAATTGAAGAAGATGGAAAGTAATCTTTTCAGGCCTTGTAATTCTGCCAAGAAAAAAAAGGCAAAAAACAACAAGACAGAGAATGCAACATGTCTGATCCTTAGTGTAAGGGTAAATTAAGTGTAATCAATAGTATAAGAATAAAGCAAACAAATCAGTTGTTTCTAAAATTGCAAGTGAGGACCATACTAGGACAAATGTTCAACATCAACAACTGGCAAGGGGTTTTAAAGTGGAAACAGGTGCTGCACATTCACTGAGAACAGGAAGAATGAAAATGAACAGATCACTCTCTTAGTGAGACTAAACGCTCTTCAACAGTTTCCTTAATCATGGAGTCAACCTTAACAACCAAGAAATAATGAAACAATAAGTGCCGTCAAACATGTGAAAGGATAACATTTTCAATTATGCTTTTCTAAACTTGTCAAAAAAACTCAGCAATTCATAACCTTATGCAAGTTTACAAGTAGACTCTGTAACACCTCGCAAAGTAATTTGAAGGAAAATGGATCATCATAAATTATTATTCCCTAAAAGATGTCAGGGGTAATTGTAAGTAATATTCATCACAGTTGGACTACACAACAAAAAGTTTCAGGGGGGTCATGCAACAAAAAAACAGGTTCCAAATAAGCACACTTTCATTTGACTATTAGATCAAATGATTAAATTTAGCTAACCTTTTTGATGCCTTTCCAAATTTTACTTCCTCTCGCAGCAAGGCAAAATGAGGTTCATGTGAGGAGAGCCCAAGCATAATCTGGTAAAGAATAAATAAAGCTGCTAATCTTTCTTTCAAAAAGAGTATTAGCTTTAATGCACTGCTCATTCTTACTGCAACTTTACACAAATACAAATGTTGTTCCCAAACAATGTCTCCAAGAAAAATGAAAGTTGAACGAAACAATTAATCAAAATGCATTCAATTAATGATTGATTCCTTGCAGTAAAACTCTACTAAATGTGTTTCATTACATGAGCATAACAATCTTGTGAAAGGATCCAGTAACCATCTTTGGCATTGTATTTGATACATGTATATAATGATACCTTAGCTGGACAGTTTGACCAACATATAATGGGTGTAATGTCTTGGCCTGGTTTGATTTTACTGAGGTTTAAAATCATGGATTCAGGTTAGAGAGGACTGGAAAAGAATGTGCTCCCAAGTCAACAGTACTTTATGACAAGGGCAAGTCTGTCACATCCAAAACTACTGAGTGACAAATTTTCAAAAGCCTCTGTAGTACACTGACAGACAGACATCTTTGTTGTAGACCTAGTACAACCTGAAGAGGCCCTGGAACCAACAAAACAAGAAGGTGTCGTTTACAAGATCCCATTTGCATGTGCAAAGTGTATATTGGTGAAACAAGGAGATCAATGTGAGAAAGGAAAAAAGAACACGACAGAGACATATGGTTTGCTCGTACTCAGACCTCTGTGGTTTCAGAGCATGTGAACAAAATGGGGTATATTCCTATTTGGAGCAAGTTAAGTTTATTGATCATGACCCCCACTGTTATACACCTAGGGTCAAAGATATAAAAATTCCTGAAGCTTGGATACCCACAATCAAACAACACAACAGCCGATCAATGAGGACTTATGAAGGAACACCATCTAACAACTGGAATGATAATGAGGAGTGAAATGCAACAATAGCAGCAAACCAATATGCTACAAACAGCGACACATAAACAATCAACCTTATTGCCTGATGAAGACTAGCAGTATTGCAGTAGAAATGTTGCAATCAACATCCAAAGTGACTCCATTGTGAGACAAACAAATAAAGTTCATCTCCTAATTCTGTTGGACTCTTAAAAGCTCATCTCAAGAGGGGCACAAGCCCAAAAAGTGTAAGATACAATGTGAGGGCACATGTTGCCATCAATGAAGAGTTTAAATCAAATATCTAAGCTTGATTAGAAAGACAGCAGACTGTGACCTTGTGGGAGCACTGGTGACTTACAACAAAGCTCGGAAGAGTTGAGTGGGCAAAAAACTGTAATAGAATTTTCAACCTAGAATCAGTGGCCATAGATCCAATCCATTTAAGAGCAAGTGTTGTAGACAAATTAGCCATGGGATAGACGAGCTTCTCGGAAATTTGAGAGCACAAACAGGCAGTAGAGAAGTTGACTCTTGCATGTGTACAATCTGTGCCTCCTCAGAAAAAGAAAGCCAAGGGTGAAACATGACCCAAATAAAACTGGCAGTTAAAAATTGCAAAATAAAACAGAGACAGAAGAAGAAGGATAAAATATTGAGTCACGCAAACAGCACATCAGGAACCTGTCAAATGAACAACTGACAGATGAACAAATCCGCCACTCATAAATCTGCTCAAATTAGATTCCCAGACACAAACCTGTGTGGAAGCAAGAGATTTACAGGGAATCAACCCTTGACATATACAAATGCATTAAAAAAATATGAAGACCTCTATACACAAGATTTTATTTGCATCATCCTCCAGGCGTAAAGAAAAGATTTGTAAAAAGGAAAGTGCTATGCTTTCCAAGAACAAATTTATCATGCTCCACATTTAGTACAGATTTTCAAAATATGCTTGAAGAATAGAGGAGTACAGTTTAGTACAGATTTTCAAAATATGCTTGAAGAATAGAGGATACTCAGATGAATTTTGGACAAATACCTCAGGTATATCTCTGAAGTCAATTTCACTAGAAGAGAAAGGTCAGTCCAAAGCAAAGAAAATAACACATAGGAGAAACTATTGCCTTTTTTAACATAATAGAGTATCATTTGCATTTCCCACCCTCAAAAACACAGTGATAGTGGAATGACATTTAATTCAAAACCAACTAATTGCACTAGAGTAATATTTCAAGAGCCACTCCAATTATGATATTAAAAATTCATTTGGGATCTCTGAAAATTCATAAACAAATAACTGAAATAGATGCTACAATAAAAAAAGGAGATTTACTTTGTCAAAAAGAAAAAAAAAGAAAAATTGGGAGGGTTGAAGGCACTTTAACTAAATCTATAGATTGGTATAATTACTGCTTGACATCTTTTAAGAGGCAATCAGAACTTTCAATAAACTCTTTAACTTAGTTTCAGCTTGTATCTCACCAAGTCAGCATCTAAGCCATATAAACAATGCCTTGTGTTGGGATCATAATCAGGGCACACTCTCTCAGACCTGATGAATTCCATGATTTTGTGCTCACCCTCACCAGGTGTCTGAAAAGGATAATTAATGTTCCAATGAGTATCAAATGACCTGTTTTACACAGCTCGAGGATAAGCATAAAAAATTAAGACACAATAATAATTACCTAAAGAGCTGACGCAAGGCTATACAGCGACAATATATTACTGAAAGGCACCACAGGTACCATTTATTGACCAGTCAAGAAAAAATACAGTTTAATGAAACTTAGGTGATAAATACCTCATGTCCAGACAGATATACTCTTAATCCTTGCCAAGCAGGATCAGTAGAAATCTTATAGCTGACAAAAAACTTCAATTGTTCATGGAGTCTTACCATGAAAGGAGTACCTAAAAAAGAAAAAATACCATACACACAACAGTTGAATAAGACAAGCTATAAATCTATATTCTTGTTAGAAAAAAAAACCCAAATAAACACACAAGTTAAATGTTTATCAAAAAAGTGTTAACATTCACTAATCAAAAAATTGGTGTAAAAACAGAATACTGAATTTATTTCACAACCCACAATCACACATGAAAGACTATTTAAGCCACAACATACATGATTACAAGCACATACCAGGAGTAATACAATTAGAATCAAATCTTTCTTCTTTTGGTAGAACTTGGCCCTTTTCCAAAGCTTTACGAATGTTTTGTTCTGCTTCTTTAGCAGACCTGCAGTTTAAACCAGAGAAAAAAACTTTAGCTGATCAAATAACTAGCAAATTTGCCAACATACATGTACTATGTACAAACATGTACACATAAAAGACAGGTATACAGACCTGTGAAATTCAAGGGAACAAAATGAAATAAAAAGAACAACCTCCCACCAAGTGGTTCCAAAGAAGAATTAAACCTGAATAGGAAAAGATTTGAAGCATATAGTGTTACGTAAAGATTTGAAAATTACCGAAAACGACGTCCTCTTTGCTGATTCATTTTTGCTCGAGGAGCCACACCATCAACAGCCATGAAGAAAACTCTCTTGGGTTTAATTATCTGGAACAGCACCTGAACAAAACATTATACAGCAGAACAAACTTTGCTTGGTTAAAATAATTTGTATCATAGAATTGTGAACCAAACTTATATCAACAATCATTTCTTTACAGGGCCAGTATATCCTTCATCATAGCACTTGCCCAAGGAAGCTAAGCTAGTAACACTTCATGCAGTCCAAACATTTACCTTTTAATAAGTACCCTTTCCTGAAGTACTAGCCTTACAATGACTTGCTATATAATTTTTGCACTGAATATTTATTTTCAATGCAATGTGCTTGGATATTCTTGAAACTTCCACAGGTAAAAGGATTCCTCTTCCTGTTTGAACATACAATTTACCTGCTGTGTTCAAAATAAGAGGGAACACTGATAACATCTCGATTTAGAACTCTGACATTACACATATATTAAGCACCAGGAAAGCCCCTGTGCCAAAAACAAGATCATATGATTATGCTGTACAACATAGCAGTGCCTCAGTAAATACTTATCTGGAGGTGATTTAATCAGTGTTACTGTCGATCTATACATGTAATTTTACAGTATTACCTACTTCTTCTTACTTAGTGATATAACTTTTGTACTTTCTGGTTCTTGAACAATGAAAAAGTTCATCTACATCGGATTTGTCGTCTATATGGCATAAAAGCCCACAAAAAAGGGTTAAGAAACCTGAAAATTTCAACTGCCTGACCACAATAACAACAAGATCGACAAATTACTATTAGATCAGACTTTAACACTTCTCACTTCGATGTAATGAAATATGTCAGCGAATATTTCTTCTTCACTTTTTCTGAAGTGAGGATCATCGTCATTAGGATGCGAGCAAGGATGAATGATTCCATTCATGTCCAAGTACATATTATCAAAGTCGGGTATCTGAAATTAAACGAGACAGAGATAAAAACTTAACACATCCTTTATCACAAATATCTGACACAGTGAGACGGAGTGCTATTGAACATTGCAGTTGTACCTGATGTTCTTGAACAACTTGACTTATGCATGGGTATCGCTCACTAACCCATCTGTAAAACTTGGGAACTCCCATGTCTGTTTCTATCAGAGAGGCATATAATCAAAAAGGGAGAAAGCTGAAATTTTCGTCGGTAGAAGATTACTACAGATCCGCACAACTCTTAAATGCTCGAAGGAAGCTCTAAACTCCGTAATGTAACCGCTGACTGTGAAGAATTTTTCTTCTTAGACGTCATGTATGAGACACTTTTCCGTCCTGTTACCCCTTGGTCTTAAACAGAGCGGGAGGGTATTAGAGTATGGTCTTAAGGCAAATAAAGTTATGATAGAATGACAGAAGTTCATGTAATGAATTTAATAAAAATAATGGAGGTGTGAAGCAGCTATATCACCTTTCGGCTTTGACAGAAGGCAGAGTAGCTGAACTAAACTAATTCAGAATTTTTTAGGTCGAGAGTGCGACCGTTTACCCATCACACTCACTCATGCCCATTATGCCGTGTGGCACGTAGGACGGCTACGAAGGATCGCCACGTCTGTCGGTTCCGGGCCAGTTTCTGGATGGTACCCCAAGTGTGTTGCATGGTCTTGAGCTCTGCCTCCACAGTTCGGCGCCAGGTGTTTCTTGGTCTTCACCTCTTGCGCTTTCCCTCAGGTGTCCAGTGAAGGGCTGTGCTAGTGATATTGTCCTGCTCTCTCCTCATGACGTGCCCAATCGTGTCTGGCCTTGTTGAGACGGTTCTTGATGTTATTCCCTGCTCCTCCATCATGCCTTACTGTGCTGCCCAGGTAAGTGAACTCTTCAGTTGTTGGCAGGTCTTCTCCGTTCACTTGAACTGGTGTAGGGTTGGACACGTTCAACAGCATCACTCCTGTCTTCTTTTGGCTGATCCTCAGGCCAACTTGCTGTGCGTAAGTGCTGATTCGGGTCGTCTTTTCCTGCATGTGTTGGTGAGTATGGGAGACCAAAGCTAGATCATCTGCAAAATCTAGGTCCTCCAGCGTTGAGAAGAGGGTCCATCTGATGCTCCGTGACTGATCTTCTGTTGTACGCCTCATTACCCAATCAATGGTCATGTTGAAGAGCATCGCCGACATTGTACAACCTTGTCTGACGCCAGTCTTCACTTCAAAGCTGGTTTCGCTGTTGCCTACTCTGCGTGTTGTGGTTGTTGTAGAAGCTTTTGATGATGTCGATAATCTGCTGTGGTATCCCATAGGCCCGAAAGAAGCGCCACAGACTTTCCCGGTGTACGCTGTCAAAAGCCTTCTCAAAGTCTACAAAGTTGATGTAGAGTTGTCTCTGCCACTCTGTGCACTGCTCTATGATGTTACCCAGGGCGAAGATCTGGTCTGTACATCCCCCTCCTTTCCGAAACCCTGCCTGCTCTCTTCTCAGTTGTTGGTCCACTGTGTCGGCTATTCGCTGGATGAATAGCTTACCTATACGAATCCTTATATTTCGGCCAAAGTAATGATATTTGCATATTTAAGATGGTTCATTTCGCGAGCCTGGGCTACCTGTGCAACAACAACAATAGCGTCGTAAATATTTTCATCGACTTCATATACAAATATTGATTCAAGAAACCTTAAAAATAACAATTAGAGAGTTTGAATAGTAAGGACTAGAAAGTGTTGGCCTTTAAGAAAGTTAATGCAAATTTTCTAAAGTTCAATAAGGACACACAACCCTCTGAATACTTAGGAAGGCTATTTCATCTCGGCTCAATGTCATTTATAGCAAAAGAAACCATAGTAACAGATCTCTCCTTCTCCTTTACCAATGACATCGACACCACTAAGTTGATTTTTTGTTCATCTATTATCAATGAATACCACAGCAAAAACAAAAATTCGGGACAAAAACGTTAAAGGAATCGCAACCTTTTCTCTTTAAACCCTTTCCTTTCGCTTTATCTTGTTTTTATTTCCTTTTCATGCTACATATCACAATCTTCAATAAAAAAATTAGTGCGCGGCACAATAACAGTTATGTTCGCAAGTATTCATGACACTGACGCACCCCAAGTTTTCGTTAGGGGTTTTCCCATATGATACTGAGGTAAGATCGGGTTATGAAAACTTGGAGGAGGCTTATTTTGACATTTTTACTACTCTAAAAGTTAAGAAGAAAGTTAGTTATTCAAGTTAAAATCTGTTCTCCGAATTCTTTTGACGAATTTCAATCAATTGCCAGGTTAGTTAGCTGGTACCAGTAGTGAGTATCTGGTGCCCTCTGCTTCGCATATCACACTTCACTGATTCTTCTACTATAAACTGAAAATAACGAAGAGACAAAATGGGAAATTAAAAACTTCTGCACAGGAGGTGATTTCAGGAGTTAGAATGGTGGTTTTTTTCTCTAGTATTCTCAGTTTACTTGTTACTATAGGTTAGTTCATTGTCCTTTCGTCGTTTTACGACTTGCAATTTCAACGGTCACGATTGAATTTCATCCAACGACTTATTGTGTTGTTTACACTCGTCATGTATTTGAACTACTGACTTGGTGAGATGTGCTATTTAAGGAATGGCGGAGATTCCAGATGCTTCTTCCTTTAAAGATTCTTTGAAGCGACGTATATGTTTGGAAGGGAAATCTCAGGTTGGTAAAGACGAAAATGTGTAAATATTCCGAGAGCTACTGCTTTGCATCCATTTCCTACAAGGTCCAGCAAGCGCTTCCTAGAGTTGATCAGATTCCCCGGGCTATTTTCTCGTCATTTGTAAATAATGTAGCTGTTCCATTTCATTAACCATCTAGCTTTTACCACGCTCTTCAGTTAATACTACAAAACAGTTGTCAGATTTAAGAAGCGTGATGAGAAGATCAAGAATACAAGCCTATATCGTACCCTCTATGGACGCACACCAGGTAACCGCGCATCTTGTTCGTTTGTTCATATATGTTTCTTTTTTATTATTCAGAAGTTTAAATTACTTTTCATGAAGGAGAAAGACAAGTAATGGTTAAAAATTGGACCTGTTGAGACCCTAAGGAAATCCACAGTTCTCAGCTATAAAGATCGTATGAAGAGATAAAAGGCGAGGTAGCTTAAACCCATGTCTAGTGGATGACGACAACCACGACTGCCTTTTAAACTGCTATATAGATAGCAGAAAAAAAAGCCTAGAAATAAAAAGCCAAGGCAACAGCCTTATCGTATGTGTCCATTCACGGAAATCGAAAAAAATGTGACGCGGATATTACCATCGTTACATCTCCTTTCTCGAAGCAAATAACACTCTGGATGAGGAAAAACTGAGTGAAAGCAAAAATTCTTAGTTGCATTTGAATGAATTTGATAAGAATTTTCGGTGAGCAGATTTCTTACTCTCCTACATGGGGGGGGGGG